ATTTTCATTCTCAGTGACCCAGAATTAGTAAAGTTTGATTACATTTCTTTCAGAAGCGTTTTGGCTGTAGAGCAGTGTTATCTATGATAGAGAATTCCTGGCTTATAGGGCCAATGGACTGCTATACAGAATCTTCCTGAGATCACATTTCCATTATAGCAATACTTCTATTCATGAGACTCTGCAGCCTTTGTTGACACACAAGGTTTTCTGCACTAATGGACCCCCTGCAAGCTGTTAGCCAGGTTCTCTGTACCCATCCCAAGTATTTGATGCAGAAAAGGAAATTTGAGAATGAGCCGGGGTAGGATCACAAATTCAATAAGTAAGAGTAATAATGTGTTCAGCTATTTAAAGGCATTATTTGTTACGTATGGCTGCAATGTAACATAGTAATAAAGTTATATTTTAACAGTGATATATTTGGGGTTCCCAATACATTTTAGACTTTGTTGATGCTGCTGAAAAATATTGATGAGCCTGGATGATAAATAATTCCAGGTTTTAAGCACTAGATTACTTTGAATTTCATTTCCAGTGCTGATCCTGAAATAGCTCTGTGAGACAGTAGTTGTAAAAGTATGCAAATTTCTCAATGTCAGCTGCTCAGCAAAGATTGTCAGAGGCAATATGAAGCAAACATCTGCAGAAGAAAAAATTATTTCGAAATACTATTATCTCTTTTTAAAAAGTTATTTTGTATTTAAATTTTGCTCCCTCTTGAAAAGATAAAATATCACGTCCATGAGAATTTGGGGAACAGAGATAGGTTAGACAGATTTTTCCCTATAGTACTTACCTCCATAAGTAGATGGTCCAGCTTCTCTTGTCTGACAAGTCAACATTGCATTATATAGCTGGAGATAAACCAATAGAAAATGTCTTTGTGTATGAGGGGAAGTGGGGGTCAGGAAAGCAGTCCTACACCAGATGACTCTCTCCAGCCTGGGGTAAGGAGATGGAATGAGTGAATTGGGACCAGGCATGGCAGAATGCAGCAGCAGTATGCTTCGTCCTCCGCCAGCATAAATTAGAGCTAAACTCATGCAGTTGTGGCATGGCTCAGCTGCTTGGGATTAGGGAGTCACCGCCAGCTCCCTAGTGGCCTCCCTCTCAATGTGTCTGAGCCTAGTTTGGTCACAGTTAAGAATCTGGCCCAGTGTTCAGCAACCCATATGGTAAGGTCATCCATTTTTAACCCATTTCCATTCCACAGTATCAGAGAGACCCCTGTTATTTGCTATTCTAAATATAGGGGTACACTGAGATACCTCAGATACCACCATATGATAACTGTAGCTAAATATAGATTTTTAATGGCAGGCACTGCATTTTGAATACCTGACCATATCAAATACTACTATGCACTGGGAGACAGCTCCAAATGGATCATTTATGGAAATGGCATCTTGGTAGGCAAAGTATTCTTGTTTTTAAACCATCTCTAGCCTTGAAGTTGAACAGGCAATTGATATCATTAATGTCATTTACACCAAGCACATACAGACAAACCCTATTAAGTTGGGTTTTTACCCAGTTTATTAGAAACATGAAAAATACAAACACATCAGATAAATCCAGCACTGGTAAATGTAATAGCAAGAAACTTGTTCATAAGCATAACTCATGATAGCAAGCAGTAAGCTTGAGTGCTCTGTAAACATAGTAGATTCCACAAATCCAGAATGATCTATGAAAAGCCATACCTCTGTTTGTTTTTTCTCACCTTTCCAGCTTTCAATTTAGTTGTTCAGACAGAAAGCATAGATAGCTACTGATGAGATTTGATTGCTACTCTATATTACTAACATAGTTAGATGTGATGCATCATAAAAAGTATTCCTATACAGATTTTTACAGAGGCAGTTTTCCAAATATCCCACCTGTTAAATGAGACATTGCTTAATTTATATTACTTGTGTTTATTTCTGCAAAGTCTACTTCCTGAGAAAATACTTAGCTTTGCAACACCTATTTCTAATGAAATATAAAAAGGAGGGTTGATAGTGAAATATTTCACCTGAGCCATGTAGAGAATAGATGGATCACATCATGTATCTCTGCATAAGAACTCATAGTATACAGTGTTCTCTAATATTAGTAAATACATAATTTAAATACTTAATTCCCCTATTCATCCTCATCATTTTAAACTATGTCTTTTAAAGTGGAATAGAATAAAGAATTGCCATCATAGAGATGGAGGTGCAGAGACTTAATCTTCCCTTCCTTAATTCAGGAATTGCAGGGGCTGTTTTGGCATGTGCAGTCCTCAAACCTCCTGTAACATGTGACTTTGTTGCAATGAGACATTGCGGGGTTGCAGAGTCACCAGGTTGAAAAATGCCTTAGGCAGGAGGACTGCTGCAGAGATAGTTCATAGCTGGTGTAGAGCCTTCCTTTTCTATTAGACTTGTACTGAATGGCAACAATGAATCAGGCACATATGACTTGATCCTTCTTCCATTGATCTCAATGGGAGTTCTGTCATTTCCTTTAGTGGGAGGAAGATCATGCTCTGTTACTTTTTAATTAGAAATCTTAAAGACTGGGGTTAATATTAAAATATAATATCACATCAAATGTCTTTCCTATATTTTTCCTTTCCTTTTAATAATGTTGTCTCACTCTCACAACAGCCTGGTATCTTATATATGTCAGAATAGCTCCTAAAACCTCTTAAATGGGTACAGTGCCAAAGAACCTATATAAGGAGCCCTACATATACAGAATGGGGAAGTAGACATGAAGGGAGAGTGTCCATTTGGTTCACACGCAGTATAAATCCCAAATTTTACACTGGAGGCAAGTATTAGGCTTTGTCCACTATTCATTCCTTCTATACACCGCACATACTCTTTGGATGGAAATTATTTATAAACACTTGGGAATTTACATTTTAATCGCTACTCTGTACACATGTAGATGCAGATAACAGAAAGCAGGAAGGGGAAGGAAGAGACGAGGGAAAACAAAGTAGTGCATTATTTTGGCGCAAATATCTTTGTATAGAACATTTCTCCTTCCCAGGCTACTATAAAAGATGTCTAAACCATGGCTTTCTACATCTTGGTTAAAACATATTTAGCAAGCAACAGATTACATATGCTTGGTTCATGCAAGGTAAAAATAATTAATTTACAAAATCTCTTGTAAGCAATTCTGAATCCATCAAGTATTCAGTTCCTCTTTGCTTCTCGACCTAAGCTGGACAAACACATCTTACTTTTCCCCTCAAGGCCAAGTTCTCATAGTTCAACGCACATTTCATTATAGGATGTCTCAAGCTGTTCCATGTTTTCATCAAACATATTTGTAACTTCCACACTGCCACAACTAAAACACTAACATAGACTTCTCAGCAATGCCAACAAAATAGAACTATTGTAAAGTTTCTCAGACAAAGCCATTTTGAAGATGCTATGAACCAACACAAGGCAGATTTTTTTTCCAAATGTAAAATTCAAGTAAAGTTCTAAAACAACATAACTTTAAAACTTCTTGAGGCAGCTCCTCCACTAGTGTAAATCAATATAGCTCCAGGCTCCTTATTTCCTTTTTTAAAATTTCCCAGAAAAACTCAATCCTAGGATGAGACATAGCATGAGAAATCTCCAGAAATTGTCTTCTTTTGGGTTGTGATTGTGTGTGTGTGTGTCTTATATGCTAGCTCCCAAGAAATGGAAAAATTTAATAAAAGTTCCCATTTACTGGACCAATTTAAGATCTCTAATTATTTTACAGCAGAAATTATCAATAATCTATACAAAAGCAGATGAAAATATATTTGTCAAACAGCATCTTTAATTAATGTCTGAAATGAGGAAGATTGGCAGATATTTGCTTCAGATTAATATAACATTAGGAAGATTGAATTAATGATATTTGTTATACAATTCCTGAGTCTGTTGCATTTATCATTGGGGAAAAACAATGAGGCATGTAAGTGTTTTTAATGTTATCCATGTAGTATCATTGTCTTTTTTATCAATCCTGTGTCAACCGAAGTTACTAGACAATAATAAAGATAAATCAACGTCTGACAGAGCTTTGTAGATACCATTCTAAATGACTGAGGAGGACTAAAATTTGTCATACTGTCTAATGCTTAACAATGAAAGTAATTCAAGGACAGTTACATTTTATACAGGCTCTTCATCATTTCAATAGCTTAAAGCCACAAGGATAGTTTTTAATTGTTTATGTGATGTATCACTTGATTGTCTCCTTCACTCTGCACCAAGGAAGAACAGAGTAAATTAATAATAAGCTCAGGCACAGCTGCAAACTAGCTGCTACAGGACAAGATTGATTTGTATCTACAGTGCTGAAGCCTGGGCTCCAGATAAATAAGGAAGGAATATAAATTTTCTTCAATATCTCAAATCAGAATCTAAAGTTTGGTATTCCAAATTTCTATTGATACGACAGACTTTGATATATGGTACTTGGATAGGAATACAATTGAGTGGATTAACACTGAAAGTAGAAGAGCAGATAGAAGTTGAATGACTTTCCAAAGTGTGTTCTTTAGCTCTGTCACACATTTATATGGAGAAGCAGGTACTGAGTTTCAACACAAAAGTAATAATGAAAAGTAATGCAGACAGAAATAGCTTGCCTCCAGCTAGACTAATGGCAAGGTTAGATTACATCAATTAAACCAGAAAGCCTCCAAGATAAAGTTCATTCCACACATTACAAGCTTTTCCCCCCATTCCAAACAAATGTCTACTTTTACATGCATAAGGCAGTTTCACTGTAACTTCATATGCCTGGCAACATAATAAGGCAGGGAGGTAGGGGGGGAGGGAAGGGAGGAATCTGCTAAAGTAGTAAACAAGGACATTAGACAATGTGAACTTACTTTAAAAAAATCTACAACAAATAAAATATTGAGGTAAAGTGACCTTCTTTTAAATATTCAGACACACTTGTGAAATTATAGTCAGTATTTTCCCAGCTGTAAAATTTTACTCTATAAAACAGTGCTTGCTTTCTTTTATATTTTGTTAAGCATTCTGAAAAATGTTTAAAAGCAGTGTAAAATAATTAAAAATGCATAAAAACAGCAAGCTGCATGACATTTTCTCTTTTGAAGTGCGATTACCTTGCAGTTATCTGAGAGAAAGCTCTTTCTTGCAAGTCATTTTTTTTTTTGTCCTAAGGCTGATAAGGATGGAGAATTTGGGATTATTCCAAGCCTCTATTCAGGGCTGAGGTGCCATTTTCTTCAGTACTCTGAAACAAGAGCTAGCCACAAAATGGAAAAAGTTTCAAAGATAAATTAAGGGCTGTCCAGATGTTCTTCATTCTATTCAGTGATGACAAAACTAGTAGTAGCAATACAGCAGGCTCTTGGGGGTGGGGTGGGGGGAGATAACCAGCAATGAAGGAAGATTTTGGGTTATAGTAGTATTGGAAAGGCTTCAACATCTGTTATAGTAGTACTGGAAAGGATTCAAAATAAGATGAGGGACCATGAAAGAAAAAAAAAAGATTTAAAATCCCCAAAAAGTTTGTCAATGTAAGGTAAAACAAAAAGTTAAGATAAAAAAATCAGAAAAAAATGGTTGCTCAATAAGTTTCCTCAGGACTAAGGGGTGTTAAGTTATTACTCCTGGAGAATGTAGTGGTTTTATGGAGTCTACTTCCCCTCCCTCACTGTAATCCACAATATTGGTAGCCCATGCCAGATTGTGATGGGGCATATTATGCTCCTTTACTCATATGTGTGGCTGCATAGGACTAGTAGGGAGCGATCCCTTAGAGCTGTGGTTCTCAAACTTTAGCAACCCGAATACCCCCATTTTAACTTATTTTTTTCTAGGACCTCAAGCCTCCCGCTCAGCCCCAGACCCTGCCCCCCACTCCACCCCTTCCCCCAAGGTCACAACCCTACCCCATCTCTTCCCGCCCCCGGTCTACCCCTGCCCCTCCACTCCCCCACTCCTCTCCCTCCCCCCCCAGTGCCTCCTGCACACCGCTGAACATCTGTTCCCCAGTGTGCAGGAGGCGCTGTGAGGGAGGAAGTAGAGTTGATTAGTGGGGCCCATGGACCTCCTGGACTACTCTTGTGGACCCCAGTTTGAAAAATGCTGCCGTAGAGGATTATCATGACCTAATAGGCCAGCCAAAATATCAACTCTTAACAATGAACTGCTCAGAGACAACCTCCAGAGCCAGAACTATTTGCAGAACTTTTTCTATGAATTGTGAATTGAGGAAACTGTGATCTATTTATGGGACAAGTTTTAAACAGACAGGTGAAATTTATCAGGAGTGAATCATTAGTCACCCACTTTATCTATAACATGAAATAAAATGTTGATGAAACAACTTATTTTGACATGATGAAAGCAAATGTTGATATAGCACTACACACAAGATTTAGCAGCACCAATAAGCACATAACACAGGAAACTCCACAGAGGATCATCCATCTAGTCCCATAATCTGCTGCTATTAATGCCCAGTACTTGATGCTTCCGACGGTAAAGCAATACCAAGTTGAAATCATGGACTACATAAATGAAAATGGGAGTTTTTTTCCATTCAAGGAGGCCAGGATTTCACCTCAAGTGTTTTGAATGCCATATGCTCATATTTCTAATTATAGCTCTTAATACAGAATGGCAGCAGTTTTTCAAAATTGCTCAGCACCAGTAGTTCTCAACTAGTTGCCTAAATGTGAGCTGTTGGGTACTGAGTCTTCTGAAAAATCTCACCCAAAATATGTAACATAAAGGATTGGTCAGGGAGACTATTCAATTTAGGACGGGCGAAACAGGAGAGCTGCAGCTGGTACATGCCCCCACTATCATGACTTCTGCAGGAATGTGGGGGCTGGGCTCAGCTGAACTAGTTAATCTTTTATGAAGAACTCTGGCACCGCTGAGCAGTTTTGGGGAATAGTTGGATTCCTAACTTGAGCAAGAACTGAGTCTAGAGAACAAGACACTGTGTACTTCTTGTGCTGGAAATTGGCTTTATGATTTATGTTTATATTCTCAGAGTTTAATGGCTCAAACTCTGTTGTGCCAATTATTTTATTGTCTATGGTTGAACAGTGGGCCAATCTGCTTGAGAACCAGGAGATATAAATTTGAAACATATGCAGAATAAAACACATGTACATATAACTGTGTTTCATGCTGTTTATTTACAGAGAGTAGGAATCTCTATCTTTCCTCAAGAATCTACAAGGTTTACTTAAAAGGCTTAACCACCATGTTGACTAACTACTAATACTGTTTATATTTATCAGTGGAAAGCAGAGACCTCTTTGGATTCCCCTTGCCTCAGTTTGTAGGTTAAATAATGACAAAGACACGGGATCTTGAATGAGCTGAGCTATACATGTGAGAAAAATGAGGAGATCTCAAGGGCTTTACTGCTTTTTAAAATAACAAGTACAGGCTATTAGTTGTGAGACATCCAAGCAATTAAGCTATATAAAGGAGAGCAGAAGCTCCACATATGTAAATGAAAAGAGAATTTGGCCCCTTGTCCATCTTGTATGTTTAATACTTTCTTTGATAGTTTCAGTTTAGCAAGAAAAAGCCTCAAAAGAAGCTTTTCCTCTTCGGAGTACGGTGATTATATACTGGGGACTGGAACTGAAAATTAAAAAAAAATAGGGTAAAACCTATGTCTTATATAATTTTAAGATTTTTGTGGCATATAATTGTGATAACACCTTTACAGTTTTAAACAGGACTAGTTTATACTTTGACAAGCAAAAGGAGATTAAGGGTACCTTGAATGTTTGGAACAGAAAAGATAAGTAATGATGAATTACCAGGGATAAGAGGTAAAGACTATCAAAGAACAATTTCCTTCAGACTCTCAAGTCATTATTTTTATTGTATATATTGTATTACTGAATCTTCTGTAACAGGTTAAACCTATATCAGTTCTCTTTATGAAATATTAAATGAATTCAGAGTAGAATAAATTCCCAGCTTTCAATCGGTCTCCTTATTGTCCTTGGCACATAGCAGGCAGGCATTGATTTTATGATAGCCAATCCAAGAAGCAGAAGGGAACCTGAATTGGGCAATCTAATTTAAATAGAAATTAGAATTCCCATGGAGAGATTCACAAAACACAAAATTACTCTTAAAAAAAAAAAAAAAAAAGCCCTCAGACATGCCAAGAGATGTACCTTTGGTTCTAATGCAATTTGATTGGTAATTCATTCTTAAAATGAAGTGAAATGATAGAAAAACCTTATTAGTATTTCTGGGGTGGAGAGGAGCAAAGTTTCCTCTTTCTGCACCAATCTTTCCCTTGCCTAAGTCATTGTTTCTGGAGAGGACATCTTTATGGTATCATTTATTTGTCTGAGTTGCAAACATAACTTTTCGGGTAAATAGTAGGGGAGATAAATATTAGAGTTTTCTTAAAGACACAATATAAGACATTTCTCTATATATTTTGTGCAGTGTTCTACTCTAGAAATAGGATTTCTCCTATGGGATTGAACATGCCTTATTTTTAGTGATACAACTCACTTTTCAGTGTTGACTTTTCTTTATTCTTACTCCAATTTTATAATTTTACTTGTATGGTTTATAGAAGGCTTATCCAAAATGAAACTCACTGAAGACTCCATATACATGATGTTCTATCTATCGACTTACATCCTAAAGTCTAGGCTCTGCTCTCCTTAGAGTAGGTCTTTACTCTGTGAGTTATCTCATTAAAATAAACTGGACAATTCACAATGTAAGGTACTATCCAGTATGTGTAGCGAAGGCAGAAATGGGTCCTAAATAAATAAGTGAAGAGGATTATTTACACTTTTACTTTTTTCAATATTCTTTCACAGGGGCCAAATCCTGTAGTCCCCACTCATGGGCACTGTGTAGAAAAAATGGAAAGAGGAAATCATTCTCCCTTTAAGGGAGAGAAGTTACCAACCTTCTGGAAGATGCTCGGAGCTTGTTTCCATAATCCACAAAGAGTCCCTAAATCAGTGGAGAAAATGGAGGGTATCCTTGCAGATGTTGGGGCCTTCAGGCATGTGGACTGCTCCACCATGCTGGTCTGTGGAACATTCTGTCTCCTGGCAACACATCTCTTTCAGGAGCCATGCTGATATTGGATGGTGCCTTTCTGGCTTAATGGCTGGGGAATGAAAACCATGGAGTAAATCTCTACGAGTTTATGCTGCTTTTTGTATTTTTGCTTATCAGCAGCCTGCAAGTTTCTGAGTAGAATAAGTTTAGCAGGAATAGAGATTGAATAAAGACTGCAAGATTTGGCCCTTAGTTATTTCTTAGTGATTGCTGTTTAGATATACTGATATTCTATTATATACTGTGCAATTTCTCTCAATTTGTTACTCATGTTAAGACTGTGGTCTGCATTTTTAAATTTATCAAGTTAAATCATGCTATTTCTCCAATGCTACCTAGGTTCAGCCCTAGCTTGTCTCTCACACCTTTAGAATTTAACTCATACGTAATGAATTTCCCAAGACGATTGCTCTCCATTGAGATTTTTTCTCCCTAGTCTCATTTCACACAGCTGGATAAATCCTTTGCAGCCCCAGTGATTTATTGGCTTGGAGTTGCCCCAGCTTACTTATCACTTCTGCCTCACTGACCCTGAAGTAATCCAAGATAGCAAGTACATGGCCAATAATAGATGGCATCTGTTAGTGTCTTTTCTATTGTGCACTTAGTAAGCATTCTTTTTCTTGAATGGCCTCTTCCACTGTTTGTTTTAGCCTAAAATATTCTGATATTATTCTCCCTATTTCTCTTCCTGATTTATTAAAATCTTTAGCTATTTTATTATTATTTTCTCTTTTTTTTTATGTGTGCATGAATTTATAAAGACACAGAGAGAACACAGAAGGGTGTCATGCTGTATAAAGGTCTTACTGACATGCCTTTGGACTGCATTACTCATAAGTGGTGAAACTATGAGTGAGTTTTGCATGTCATCCCAACAGAGTATCATTAAAATCCTTCTGCCTTCCTACAACATCATATTATGAACATGCTACACATTTTTACAGAATACCCTCCCCTGTGTTTTAGAATTTTTTTGATATTTTTAGTCTTTTTTTTTCATCCTTCAATCTTTAAATACCTTATTTACCATGAGTTCAATGGCAGCGATCTCAGAGGGACCCATAAACTCTGAATATGACCTAAAATAGCTTTATTGTACATAAAAATATCATGAATTTAAGATGCTATTTCACTTGGCATTCCAATGTGGGAAGCAAGTGCTATGTATGCCATCAAAAAAGAAGGGATCCCAGTATAAGACTCCTGTGTCTAGCTTTGAATACCGTGAAGATGTCAGATCTTAAACTTGGCATTTAAGTACTATGTTTTCCATCCTAGGACTCAACCTGTTCTATTGTGGTGGAGGAGGGAAATCCACAACTGCAGGATAAGGAAACATATCTGGCAGATTGCTTAAAATAAATCCTATGCAAGCTGGGAATCACATCTCCATCTTCAAGTGTAGATGTAGCCAAAAACGAGCCTTGTGAAGCAATTTGCAATTTTAAAATGTTTGAGTAAATCCACAGGAAATGGGTGAGTGGGCAGAATACAGATGTGAAGGTTAAAGGTGTTTGATAAATTGTGAAATAGATATTTTATTTACTATTTTATATTTTCTTTGTGATCCAGTGTGTGTGTGTATATGCTCCAAAGCTTCCAAAGCTGGAGGCCTCAAGTTAGGCTTCTAAAAATCCATATTTAGGTTTTTTAATCCATATTTTTGCTTTTAAATAAAATGTGTGTTTAGGATCCTATCTTCAGGAACCCGTTTTTGAAAATTTGGTCCATAAATATTGTGCAGGCTCTGGTGACTGGATAGTTAGGGGTGAATTGACATTTGCATATAGAAGCTGACTGACATGTCTCTGTTTCACATATTTATTATTGAATTTAGTCTCTAAATTTGTCACAGCAATACTTCTGAAGAAAGCTGAATTTTTCTGTGCAATATTTTAAAACTATGTCCTAACTTTAAAACTATGTTCTAACGACGTATCTTAGGTCAACTTACCTCGCATCCTCACAGCGCGGGGTCGACTGCCACCATTCTCCCGTCGACTCCGCTTCCACCTCTCACTGCGGTGAAGTACAGGAGTCGACGGCAGAGCAATCGGGGATCGATTTTTCGCGTCATAAATCGATCCCCAATAAATCAATCACTACCCGCCAATCCAGCGGGTAGTGTAGACGTACCCATTATCTCTGAATGGAGACAAGTTATTCTAAATTGGTGTTAAGAAATCTTTTGTTCAGAACTAGTCAGTAGATGCAGTGATATCACAGCATTTGTCAGTACTACTTCTACTCATTGGACCTCTGTAATACCAGTGCCCTTTTACAAATATAGTGATACTGCAGCTGAATTGCTAGAAGGGTACTAACACATTTTATAGAACATAGAGAAACCCAGGACTTCTGCCCTGAGAATGTACTATCTAAGACCCTCTTCCTGCAATCAGAGCTATAAGGATGGACCCTTGTGTCTGCAGGGAATCCTAGTGAAATCAATGAGATTGATCACATGTAGAAAAATAGCGTCATTATAGGGTTTGTGATGCTGTATCCCATAATGCTTTATGGGAATATGACATAACTGGAGTATGTTTTATGCTACATGTGCCATGTAACATATCTCTGTAAAGGTTATGGTTTACTGAATCTATTCATCCTATTTGTACACATATATCATTTTTGTACTTGAAGTTATGAATATTGGCTGTATACTTGCTTGATTTCTAAGTAAGCTTTGTAAGGCATTTGGTCAGCTTCTTTAGAAAGGAATTCGCAAAGTTAAGTGTGCAATCAAGAAGCATTTAAGGAACAATGCATCTTGGAATGGTCCAATTCACATAAAAAGTCTTCCGGGAGACATACAAGATACCATGCGGGCAGTGCTTCTGCCTGTAAAAACTGTGAGTCATGAATGGACATGTGACTTTCCCAGGTGACTCCAGAACTCCATCTTGGAGCTGGACTTTCCATAGGAGAGAGGAGGGGGTCTCCACCCACAAGAGAAAATCTATTTAAACCCAGGGGAGACCCCTCCATTTTGTCTTCAGCTGGCTAAAGAGAAAGCCTTCCCACCCCCAAGGATACCTGAAAGAAACTGGAACAAAGGACAGTCCCCACAGTGAGTGTGAGTGATTGCTGGACCCAGACTAGCAGGAGACTAGTCTGTAACAGGAAGCTTACTGGAACTGGTGAGGTGTTATTTGTATTGTTTCTTAGACATAGACTTGTGTGTTTTATTTTAATTTAATTTAATTTAATTTAATTTTACTTGGTACTTCACTTTGTTCTGTCTGTTACTACTTGGAACCGCTTAAATCCTACTTTCTGTATTTAATAAAATCACTTTTTACTTATTAATTTACTCAGAGTATGTGTTAATACCTGGGGGGCAAACAGCTGTGCATATCCCTCTATCAGTGCAATAGAGGGCAAACAATGTATGAGTTTACCGCGTATAAGCTTTCTACAGTGTAAAACGGATTTATTTGGGTTTAGACCCCATTGGGAGTTGGACATCTGAGTGTTAAAGACAAGAACACATCTGTAAGCTGCTTTCAGTCAAGCCTACAGCTGTTAGGGGATGTGGTTCAGACCTGGGTCTGGGTTTGCAGCAGGCTAGTGAGTCTGGTTCAAACCAGGAAGGGCACTGAAGTCCCAGGATGGCAGGGCAGGAAAGCAGGGGCAGAAGTAGTCTTGGCACATCAGGTGGCAACCCCAAGCGGGGGGGGGGAGGGAGGGGGGAGTCTGTGATAACCCATCACAGGGTTTGCAAATATTTACACATGTGCTTAACTTTGCTGTCCATGGGATGTAGGTCAGCTGAGAAGCATTCAGACCATAGAAGTCAAGGTGTAAATTGCCTGTGATGGAGCAGAAGTCCTGTTAATGTGAATGAAAGCTGTGCCAATGTGCATGCATTGAACTGAAAAAGGACCCTAAAGAACCTCCCCACTAGTCTATAATCAGAAAACAAATATATACAATGCAATGCTTCTGTGTAACAATGTTAATTCATTTAAATGTTTCACATTAGTGATTTTCCCCAAGACATTCCAGACCTATTACTTTAAATAAATTGGGACTCCTAGAATTCCCAGCAGTTATTATGCAGATTGGTCCCATAACAACTTTCATGAACTTTACTGTCTCTGTGGACATTTTGCTCCTATGCTCAGCCCAGATGTCACTCATCAATGGAAACAGTCTCTCAGAGGCACAGTAGTGCATGAGAATGCCAGCACAAACTAAGTCAGAAGTCTCAAATTTTAAGAGAGGATGTTATTTATTAAAAATTATTGAAAATCTTTACCATATGTCATAGATTGATGCCTTTCTCTTTCAAGTCTCTCAGTGCCTGGAAAATAACATGCAGTTAGACAGAAGGGTATTTGTCAAATATCAATTAATTGGCAACTCACATTATCCAAATACTGTTATATCATAAACACCCATACTTCATTTCAAGCCCCATCCTTCAAAGTGCCGAGCACACTTTTGGTACATATACTCTGTAAAATTACACTTTGCAGCAGCAAGTCTCAGGGTCCAGGTCAACTGACTTGGTCTTGTCCTACCGGGGTAAAAATAGCAGTGTAAATGTTCCCGCTTGGGCTAAAGCTGGTCATCTGAGATCAACATCCCTCACTGGGTTGAGCTCCGGCTCAAGTGTGAATATCAACACTGCTATTTTTAACCCCGTAGCATAAGGCCCAGTCAGTCAAGGCCCTGGCTCTGAGGTTCACTGTTATGAGTGTTTTTTGCAGTATAGACATACCTTAGCCACCATTGGCTACACGAGGAGTTGAAGATGCTCAGTACCTCATATGAGAAGCTCAGCATCTTATAGGGTTAAGTCATCTTTCTGTAAAGGAACTGTTGGCCCTTTGCTGATACCTAATGGTGAGTTTTTTTAGGGTGGCCCTCTCCCAATACCAAGAAAAAGGGGATGGGCCAAAGAGCAGCCAAGATCCTGAGACTGATAGTCCCCAGGGCCAATGGGGAGAGGCCAGCACTCCCAGTCAACTGGATTGACAAGGCAGACAGGCCAATGAGGGAGTCAATAGCCCAGGGACCATTCTCCATGAGAGTTAGGCTGCCAGGGGCAGAATAAAGCCAAGGACAGTGCAGCTACCAGAGCTGAGCTGGGGAGGGAACAGCAGGCCATAATCTGAGGGGCCAGAGCAGCAGCCCAGAGCCAGGGAGCCAGAATGGCAGAGATCAACTGTGCTGGCAGTGAGCCAGGACCAAGCTTCAGTGGAAAGCTGCAGGCCAGGGTTGGGATAGTGGAAAGCAAACTATGCCACAAATGATACTGGAGCCGAGCATGGTGAGCGACTGGGGAGAGTGTGGTGGGGACCCTGTGCAGAGAGGGCCAAGAAGAGGGAGATATCACCAGACAAGAAGGCCTTGAAGGCTGGACTGAGTGGGAGGACATTAACCCGACAGGAGGGCCAATACTGGGGGAAAGGGTTCCACAACATAGAGCCTGAAGGCATGTAGCCACCACTAGAGCAGGTGTCTTAAAAGTGGTATCAATGCACCACATCCAGGTCCTAGGCCGGTGACCTGGGACATGTAAGGAATAGACTCTGAATTTTCTTGAGTTCCAGAGACTATTGTTTATGGTGTTCCCATGTCCATCATGTGGGGTTCCTGGATCATTTTACCTTTTCCCTTATTCATTTATAGTTGCTGATTAATTAATACTATGTAGCTTAAACTCAATCACTGCAATCACTGGGTCAGGAAAGTGGCTGGTGAGGAGCGAGTACCCCAGGGCACGGATACCCTAACCTCTGCCTTGAGTGCCCCATGGCAAAATTGAGTGTTAAACCCCCCGGGGATCCTGGGCCCAGCCTTATCAGGGTTACAGGGACTCAATCGCATGGGGGAGAGGAAAAGGAGTCCTTGATGTCAGGCAGGCAGATAGGGAGTTGGGGTGGGGACTCAGATCCTTTCACCATACGATTCCACCGGGGTAGTGTAGAAGGCAGAAAAATTCCCCACAATAGCGGGACCATCCCCCACTTACACTTCTTTAAAGTGTCAGACATCCCAAGAATTAACAGCAGTTATGGTGTTAAAGCTGGTCAAAGTATTCAATTGACTAAGAGCAATTCATTTCTGGGGTTTGTCCCCTTTCTTCATTCAGATATGGTTTGTGGACTGCCCATGAGTTTTTACAAATCTGTCAGAACTGTTTGATGAGATCTTTTTTTGAACATATTTGGGCCTTTGGGTTTTTACTTATTAATCTACAAACAATAGGAGAAACTAAATATAATGGGGAACACTTTAGGAAAAGACTTAGCAGGAGATAAGCAGGCCTATGCATTTTTAGTATTTATCTGTGTATAGTTTCTTATATGGCCCTCTTATCCTCTCACTCATTGATGTACTGCTTATCCTCACAACACTCCTGTAAGGTAGAGAAGTCTGTTTTCCCTATTTTATAGATGGATAACAGATACAGAGAGACAAAGGGGGCAATGTGATCAATGCTGAGCACTCTGGCCCCAGTCCAGCAAAGTCTCAGTCAGTGGGACTAGATACATGATTAAAGTTAAACCTGTGCTTAATTACTTTGCTGGTTTTGAGGCCAAATGCTCCACAGCAGGGTCTGCCCTAGACCAAATGGCGCCCCAGGCAAGAAGTGTCTTCAGCACCTCACCACCATTTGTTAAACTTTTGAATACCTTATTTTTTTATTACATTTGTAGCCCATTTCATGACTGTGATGCATGATGTGCATGCCTGACTTATTCCTATCATGTAAGATGATACAGTTACATACTAAGATCTGTAAATCTGTATTTATTCATGACATATATAGGCAAATAAAATAATTGTTTCTTTCAAGCCTGTAGCAACATTTTAATTTTAAGTATAATTGAAAAGTTCTAACACCAAGAAATTGAATTGTGCACCAACATTGGGTTTACCAGTATTAAATAGTGTTACAATAGGTGTCAGCCTTAGAATGTTAACCCTAGTCCTTTAGTTCAAAAGATCATTTTTCTCACCTTTGCCCTCATGAACTGAAGTACAACATCAGAGAGATTCAAGGACTGACCAATGGCATTTTCAAGTGACAAAATCGCAAACAATGTCAGTCTCTTATCAACCATCATCGATCAAAGATATATTTTAATGAGCTGAGCTTCGAAAAGCTGCACTCACCACTCACAGCTGTGTCCGGCAGCATGAGCAGAATCCTCAAAGCTAACCACACATTAGGAAAAGTGTCCTTCAGCTTTGCATCATGAATGAATTTGAGAACTTGGAGTGAAGAGTGTTTCCTGTGTGGCAAAATGTGACAGATGTTGTTCAATTTGACATAGAGGTCTTAACTTTGACGTCCAAACATTCCCCAGGTGTCAGCATCTGGTGAAGGTTCGTACAATTGTTCAAGAGTGTTTTCCTGTCCACCAGCAGCTTACTAAGGTCATACAAAAAAACTCAAGTCTTTTTGTGGTGCTTCATTTGTCCAAGCCTTTCTTTGATGGACACTTGAGTAGTTTCAATGAGTGAGCAAAAAAACGTACTCTTGAATTTTTCTTCTGATCTTCCCATCACCTCATGTCTGCCCTCGTAACCAAAGTTTCTCTTCTTCTAATGAATATGAGTTTCTTTTAAGACACACTCAACTCCTCAGTTTTCCACTATTTCTTTGGCAGCAGTGATGACCATCTTCAAATCTGTTGTCTCTGTAGGCCACAGCAAAATCAAGGCAGCTTCTCATCAAAGTAGTAGTGGTACTGATGTCCATCAACTGAGTTTGTAATGCCTTGCTTACCACATTTACTTAGAACAGTATCAGACATGCCAAACCCATGAAAAAATGCAGAAATTGGGCTTGGTTTTGGCTTAATTGGCTTACCTGAGTTGCTTGTTGGCTAGTTTTTGGCTTGTTGCTTGTTTGGCTTGTAGCTTGTTGCTTCTTTTTTTTTTGATTGGCTCCCAGCAAGCAGGGGCAAAGGGGGGAGAGAGTCAGGGTGCTCAGTGGGCTCACCACAGTCCAAGACTGCACGCCGGAGGCATCTAGTCACATAGAGTGTTGGGGTTCTTAGGGATTTGCTTGTTTTGGCCTTGTTTTGAAATGGGATTAGCTTGATTTTTGGCTTATTGTGAACATCAGGGTGCTTATTTACCATGTGAAAATTGGCAACTGTGAACAGGATATCATGACAAATCACAATTGAGACCAGAAATTGAGTCATTGATCTGGTTTGCCAGGCTTTGTGCCTCATGTCGGATTCTGGCCTTGGCTTTACTCGATTGTCCCAATAAGGACATGGCTGATAATATTCTAGGACAGGGGTCAGCAACCTTTGGCACGCGGCTCGCCAGAGTAAGCCCCCTGGCAGGCCCGGCCGGGTTGTT